GTCCTCCCTCCCACCCAGGGCCTCTTCCACTCTTCCACCCTCCCACCCAGAGCCTGGTCCACCCTCGCACCCAGGACCTCATCCTCCCTCACACCCAGGGCTTCGTCCTCCCTCCCACCCAGGGCCTGGTCCTCTATCACACCCCTCCTAAGGGGTGCTACATAGTCCAAACTAGAGCCCAGGTCTTCTGACTGCCAGCTCAGAACCGCTTCACTCAGCCGAGGCACTGCCTCGTGCATGAATCTGAGCCGGGACCCTCTAAAATAGGGCCTCTCACTCCTGTCATTTTGTTAAAAAGCAAGTCAAAAGGCAAGTGTGTCAAGATCAGAAAACAAGCAATGTTCCTAAAAAATCCGTACCACTTACATTCACTCCTGACATCCCCATTTTTAAAAGAAAACATACATGCAAGTTGAGGCCTTTGGATAATTAAGCAAGACTGAAAATTATGCAAATGAAATATATTCAAGTATGCAATGAATTTTAAATGACAGAACTACAGAAAACTTAATTGCTGTATTAGCATGCTATAAAAACACTAATCATAAATGTAAAACAAAGCTAGCATATGCTTAGACCCAAATCTTCTCGGTGGCAGAAAAGCCCAGATGAGTTTTCTCCTCCCCGGGGGAGCCCCCTGGCCACCGAGGCAGAACTGAAGCCCAAATGCCCTGAAAGCCAAGGAGGGCAGCCTGGAGGGGCCTCAAGCATTCCCCTCACCACATTTCTGCACTTCCTCACAGATCCAGAAACATGACTCTAATTTCGTTTAGAGGACAGGTCATTCACCATCTGCAAGGACTTCCAACGGCTGATAACGTCGACGATACCGCCATGGTATGGAGACTGTCCGAGCCAATTCTTCATACTGGAAAATTCCCACATTTCTCATCTTTTTTTTCAAAGTAACATTTCTTAATCATCAATTAACTACAGCACCCATAACCCAAACAAAGTAACACGGGTAGGTTAAGGGAGAATCATGAAGGAACAAAAGAGAACGATCATTCTGCTAATCCTTGGGAACAGATCACGTGCGCGTGAGCACTTTTTGCTAGACAGATGCAAAGCAGGCCACGCATTTTTAAATTCCGCCATCTCCCAGCACGCCTCGGAGTGCGGATTTCACCCAGCGTCTGTGGCCCGGTGACGAGGCAGCCACCTGCCTCTTGCAGGGGACGAGGCCGCCCACTGAGGCCCACGTGTGGACTCTTCTGCTGCAGGAAAGTGAGGGAATCCACAGGAATTGGGGCCATGACGCCACAAGAACAGAGCACCACCAAACACTTCCAAAGACAACAGGGCCCACTGAACTGAACCAATCTTCTCTACGGAGGTATCTACACCCCCTGTTGGACGGCCCCCTGCACCAGCCCCCCACCCACCTCTAGCAAGCCATCAGGTTCAGCAGCTAAGCCATAATCACCCCTCCTCTGGAGGCCTGGGAAAGCCCCCCAGTCAATGCCCTCAGCTGGCCCGGCCCAGTCCATCCCTCAGCTGAGAAAACAGCCCAGAACGCCATGGAAAGCCCTCCTCTGAAGCTGTGTAAAGGGCCAAGGGCAAAGCGCCAAGAACAACCCTCGAGGCCCACCTTCTGCCTTCCCAGAATCGCCAACGGTGAGAGGCGTCCAGCTTTGCGCAGTGCAGGCACCTTCCCCATTAGACTGCGAGCTCCCTGAGGGCAGGGGCTGAGCCTGGCACCGAGCAGGTGCTTTATCAGACAACGAGGGAGACAGAAAACAGGAGGAAGCAGGAGCCCACCCGCCCTGTTCTTACCTTGCCGACTTCTCTCTTACTCCGTCCACCGCCTGAAGCACATGGCACTACCCCTCCTCAGGAGACCCCAGCGGCTCCCTCTTACCTCCACAGACCAGACCCTGCCGGGCCTCCCAAGCGCCCTCTGACCCCCCGGCCTGGCCGCTTCCTTAAATCCGCCCTCCTACCCAGCGCCCTGCTCCCCCGGTGAGCCCCTCCCTCTGGCCACCTTGTGCGCACAGTGACTGCCGGGTCGTCTGCCCCTTCGAGAGGGAGACCCTCTCGGGTGGCAGCAGGGACTGTTTTTTCCTTTCCTCACCTTCCCTAGCCTCAGCACACAGTGAGCATTTACATCCTTGTTGACCGATGACAGGAGCAAGCAGAGGCCAGCTGAGGCTGATACGGTGGAGAGCCTGAGAGGGAGGAAGGTAGAAACAGCCAAAGTGCACCAGGAAGGTTCAAGCCGATGTGAAATCAGGGAAGGCTCCCCTGAGGAAGTGTCACTGGATCCCACCCAGCCCAGTGCAGACCCTCGAGGCAAGCCTGGAACAGGGCTGGCAGGAGCTGAGCAGGAGCGGGCAGCTTCTCTGAAGAGCAGCCGGCCGTCGAGCTCGGCACTGGCTGGCATGGGGTCCCCCCTCCTGAAAAAGGTGAGGGCTCCCGGCTTCCTTTTCCGTCCTCTGCAAACACTTCAGACAACCTCGAATCTGCCCCCTCTGCAGGGCAGCTGCACCGCCCCGGGGTCTCAGAACAGGTAGACAACAAGTCTCGGTGCCACAAGAAAGCTGACAATGACGCACTCCTCTACCTCCGTCTTCCTCTCGAGCGGCTGTAGTAACGTAGAGGCCAGCACCGCGGCCGCCAGGTGGGAGGCAGTAATAAGAAATGCATCAAAGGGACCTTCTCCTCCTCCTGCCATTGGAAAGTAAGTATTTCTAAGAGCCCTGGAGAGGGCTGACAAGAATCAAAGTGCCTGCCAGCCAAACAGGGCTACCCATTATTCCCCGGGCACGTCAGCGGGCTACCTCTGATCCAGGAGAGCTACGTTCAATTCCCAGTGCAGACACTTCCTGGCCGTGTGACAATCTTTGTGCCTCAGTTTCTTCATCTGTTAAACGTGGGTGGCAGTCCTTCACCAGCCATCGCCACACAGGTGGGCCCAGGGTCACAGTGACGGCGTTGGAGACGTGTGAAATGGGGGGAACGATGAGGATGATGATGGGAACACCCGCCACGTTCCCACTCAGGCCACCCGTACAAAATGCTTCCTGCTCCTTTCCTTCTCAAGGCCCTGGCCCATCAGCATGCGGGCCACCTCATCCAAGAAGCCTTCCCGGATCCCCCCAGCCTGAAGAGCTCTCGGTGCCCACCGTGGTCTGCCACAACACTCTCAGGTCACACACATACTCTTCCTGCCTGTCATTCCCCGGCTAGAGGCTAAGCTCAGTGAGAGCTACAGCTGGGCCTTGTGCCGTCTTGTGTCCCCAGAAGGCCCAATGGGATGCCTTGCACTCACTGGGTTTGCTAAGAGAACACAGTGCCACCCTCAAAAACCCTCTGAGCTAAGGAGTATGAGGAAACAGAGGCTCAGAGAGGACAAAGAACTTAGCTGAGGCCACCAAACGAGCCAGAAACAGAGATGGGAGGCCAGCCTGGGGTCTCCAAATGCTTGTCTCTAGCTCTTTCAGGCCACGTCACCCTGTCTGGGCACACCAAGATCGACCTTGCCTTCCCCATCACTCCCCTCATCGGCTTGTGCTGGTGTTCCACCAGAAAAAAAATCAATGTCCCTCAATCCCCTGCCCATCCTTATCCCCCGTCTGAAGTCACAACCCCCACCCCAATCCTTCCATCAATCACACATACAGCAGGGGTCAGGACGTCTAAGGGGACGGTGACTGTAGGGGGCACAGAGCTGATGGAGACAGAATTTTGTAACATAATTAATGAAAGACACTCTATTCAGAAGCACCACATTTCCAATAAATTGCAAATTGCAAGACAGTGTCCTGAAGGTATTTTAATCAAAACTTGGTGAAATTCAATCTGAGAACCGCATGACTAACCAGCGCTACCCCCCAGCGAAGGCCACAAAAAACCTGACACACTGAGTCGTCTTAAAGGGGAAGGATGCTCTGATTAATTTGCCCTCCCTCCCTAAGCCCTGGCTCCAAACCCCCAAATGAAAACAAAGGCGCCTGCAGGGGCTGAGCTGTAATTGAAAGAGAATACTTAATCAATAGATTGTCACTGGTAAGAGCTGCATCGGGGCTGGAGATCAGAAGGCCCAGGCTTCTCATTTATTAGGACTCATTAGGAAAAGGGAGACTTTTCCATGCTGGGGCATCAAAGTCCACCTGAAGTAAGCATTTGGTATTCCCTGGTGACTCTCCTCCTTCAGAAAAAATGAAGCTGTCTGCACCTATCCCTAAAATTCAGCCATGCCACAGTTTGCTTTGGCGAGCTCAGCACGGTAAACAGAGGTGACAATCTGTTGACCAAGTTCCTTCGGAGATGACCGCGCCTCTGTCTGAGGTGTCCAACTCAACCGTCCAGCACAGAAAATAACTATTGCTGTGATGATGCCCTCATTCATCAGACGAAGACTGCGTTCTGGCCGGCATGGGCCCTCCCCATCTCAGATGATCGACGTCCTTCTCATCTGTCCACCTTCCATTCAGCAAGCCCTCTGTGGCCATCCACGCTGACGGGGTTCTCTCCTCCTCTGGTTCTACCTGGCCACTCTGCCTGCATGCCTCCTTCGCTCCATCACACCTGCCCTTGCAGAATACTGACTGACCTGGTGACAAACAAGATCTACCCTAAGAGACTACGAGGTCCTCGAGGGTAGAGGCTGTGTCGTTTTTCATCTCTGTATCCCTAAAGCCTGGCACAGGGCCCGCCCGATACGTAGTAAACATTTAAAAAAATGTTTGTCGAGTTGAAATGAATTAACCATCAGCAATCTCATGGTCCAGTTCTTATTCTACATTGGAATTTTTCTGCAACTACTTTGAACATAATGCAAAATTTAGAGAAATAAAACCTGAAAAGACAGACACATGGATGTCATGAATTCTTAATAACTCCATTTTCTGACAGCCTCGTCAAATCAAGCTCGAAATCAAGCAAAGAAAGGAAGCGGGTGTCTTGGCTGAAGACAAAACGTCTTTGATACCATCACCGATAGGACCAAAGTCAACATGACCCTGAGGGCCATCCGCTGACCCCAAAGGGAGACTTACCGAAAGGAGTTTCCAGGTTATTGGACGGACTTGCTTGGGAATTCCAGACCAACTCAATTTTCTTAATTCCTCTGTTAAAATAAAAGGGTTGGGGGGAGAGGAGAGAGAAAGAGAGAGAGAGGGGAAAAAAAGGATTACTGGAGAGCTTTTCTTGGGGTGGCTAATATCCCATGATATGATCAGAACACAGCTGCTCCCCTAATTAAGCTCTGAAAGGGCACAAATGACAACATTTGCAGATGCTGATATTTTTAGTCATCGACTGCACAAAAACAAGTCACTCGACGCCACATCCAGTTATCACCGTCAAGTGTGCCCATTTGGATTCTGAGTGGAAAGAGAAACATGTGGGAAAACGTCCTCAAAGTCTGAGCTTTCCAAGATGCTCCAAAGGAGAAGCCCTCCCGAGGGGCTGCTGGATGCCCACCACAGCCGGGATGCCACGCAGGTGGGCGGGGCACTAGCAAGCCCCTTCAGAGGCTTTACCATCCAGTGAAACAAAGAGAGAACCACTATCTGGGAAAGGCTGTTCTTTCCTGGTTCTGCCTTTTAAACATGTAGATGCCGCTCTTAACCCTTCTGACACCCCCTCTTTTCAAATGCATTACAAATTCTCCAACCACTTCATGCATTCCCAGCTAAGTCATAAAATGGCAGAGCTGAAATGGGCCTAGAAATCATCTGTTCTAACCCAGTCATTTTCCAGAGAGGGAAACTGAGGTACAGAGACATGAGGCTGGCTTCCAACACTCATCTGCCTCACATTCCCTCAGGATATCCCCCTGCCTGTTTACTGAGCTCCTCCTGCAACCCTTTCCTCCCCTAGACCTCTGGGCACAAAAAGGTCAGGAGGGAGGGTGTTGGTTGGTACCAAGCAGGCTTGGCTGATATGAAAGAGATGGAAGTTAAACTACAAAGGACTGACTTCGAGGTAGACTCAATCTAATCCACAGGGCTTAAAACACAGATACGTGAATAAATTTGTATGAGGGTCGAAAACTAAATAAAACACAAGAGATGAGCTCTAGAATTAGGTCTCAAACGGGTCAGACTCACGGAAGTGGAGAGGCATTCTAGGAAATGATATCGCTAACGCAATCTCGTCCCAAATCACAGGCTCCAGAACGGGCGATGCCGAGAATACTCATGAGATGAAAGTGCATAGAAGTAATTTGGGGAAAATATTATAAAGGCGGTGGCACGTGCCTACGACAACAAAGAGGTGATAGGGAATTAGAGTAACTAACTCAGTTACCTCCAACAGTGGAGGGCAAGAAGGCAAATAATGAAAGGCACCAACAGTTCAGAAATCTCATTTGAGCCAGCAGCTCTAATATTCTCTTACCCTGAAAGTTTTCTGCAGACGTGCTGACAATGAACAGAACCAAGAAGGCCTCTTATGAAAAAAAGAAAAAAGAAAAAGGTTTGTATGCTACTTTAAAAAGGAGGACGGAGAGAATTTTTTATTATGGAAAGCTGCCCAATAATACCAGCATTAAAATTTTATATCTAGAAATTAACATGTATATAGTTCATGCGACAATGAACACAAGTACATTATAATTAACACACTGTACAATATTAAACCATAAAACAAGCTAAAGAATAAAACGAGGCCGGGACTCCACTTTCTTGGGACGAGGTTCGAGCACTGGCCGCGGGCTCCGGCATCGAGCTGCTGCTCTACAGAGTGGTGACTCACAGCCGAGGGCCACTCTGTACAAACACATCCTTGCCGGCCACGTCCCCAAACCAAGCCCCAAGGGGCTCACGAGAACAAGAACACAACAAGACCTTATGCCCCCTACCACCCAGTCACAGCCAGTAAGCATTGATTAAGCACCTAAGAGGTGCCAGGGACTGTATTGGCTGCTGGGGATACAAAAGAAGGCAAAATCCAGGGCCTCCCCTCGAGGAGTAATGGGGGATACCACAGCCTGGCCCAGAGGGAAGGTGCCAGCGCCTAGTGGGATGGGAAAGGCTTCCTAAAGAAGGCGGTGTTGGCAGGGCCTGGAAGGGGCCAGGAGGCATAGATGAAGAGGAAGCGCTCTCCCAGGCAGGGGGATGGACAGCCCAAGGAAGCAGCCTTGCACTTCTCAGGAGGCCACAATCACACAGCAGGATGCAAGACGAGCCACAGGCCTCAGGTTCAACTCCCAGCTGAGGCGGGATCTCAGACAGTCCCTTAACATCCGAGCCTCAGTTCCTCCAGGTGCAAAACAAGTAGGCTGGATCAGATGATCTCTCAGGCTTTTCCAGTTACCCCGCTATAATCAGCTGCTGCTGCCGCCGGTGCCATCAGGCTGACAAATCACTTCCTGGAGCTGATAAAACAAGCCCTCCAGCCCAAAGATCGATGGACGGCAGTGGCAGGCGGCTCGCAGAAAGCAGCTGTGGGGCCAAATCACAACACCCGTAACACAGAGAAGGGATGCCCATGTAATGCTGGGGCGAGTCTGGGACACCCACACCAATGTCAGAAAACAGAAGCAATCTTCTCTGGGAAAGTCTTCCAGTGAGACAAACTAGGAATTCCAGCAGGGTCCTAGGCCCCCACAGCCCAGACCTCCTTGTATGGAACATGAGGGGCTCCAAAGACCCTGGATACAGACCTAAGACTGATCGCGAGCCTGAAAAGCCAAGGCTCCCCAGCCCCCAAGAAAGCCCGAAGGCCAGGGGCAACAAAACCAATGAGAGACGTCGCCATCTCGTTCTGCCGAGCAGCCGCAGGTTCGCCGCACCGGGTAAACACTGAGACAGCGAGACACAGACAAAGGGTCCTCGGAGGAGGGCCCGAGAGTGGGCACCCAACCAACAAGCCCAGTGCGAGGACGCGACCTGGGCCACACTACTGTCAGGGCTGGATACACCAGCAGTCTTGACGTCGGCCTCACCGAGCAGTTAGGAAGGCTCATGGCCACGCCGTACGTGAAGTGCCAGCTGTTTGACAGGGCAGAGAATGCAGCTCTGGGAGCCCGCCTGTCTGGTGGGTCCCCTCGGGGCCTCCCTTTATGGGAGGATGGCCCTGGTATGGGATGGCACAATGGAAGAAGCCCCAGATCTACTCTCAGAAGACATGGGCTCGATCCTTTCCCTGCTTCCCCCAGCACAGATCTAAGTCTTGATTTAGATGACCAGACCACCCTGGAGGGATTTCAGCTTTCACCTCCCTACTGCCCTGGGATCCCGACGTCACCCTAGAATTCTGCCCAAGGACCAGGGAGGGACGGAAGCTCTTTAACTAATGGCTTCCCTTTGTGCTCCCATGTGTGTTCCCTGCCTAGACCATGTGTTGTCTAAAATTCAAACAAAACCCAGCTGTGGGTAAGGGGGAGGAAAAAAAGCTCATAGAACAATACACAAAATAAATGCCCTGTCTGACTCCAAGCACTTTCGGTAGCGCTCAGGATTACTGGCCGCCTGACCTGCCCTGGTTCTCTGACTGATGCCGCGTGCCTCCTCCAAGAGGGAGAGAGGCCTCGTTGCTGAGATCTCTTCCTACCGTTCATATCATTCCAACACTTTAAATATGCAGTAAGGAGAGTGACAATTTCCACACACAATAAGAAAAGGCTCGTTTCATCCTAAGCAGCAGCCAACGGCCAAAGAATTCATTCCACTTTCAGTGGCGAACAAATATTCCCCATTCCCACTGCAAATGAAGCAATTATTTTTTCCTTTAAATTTTTAGACATCCAGGGTTAGGTTCCTGTGCAAACAGCTGAGAGCTAATGATTAATACCAGGAATAAAAGAAATGACTAAAGAGAAGGCCTTAGTAATATAATCACCAAAATGTGAAGTCTTGACATCTAATCTTTTTCAAATTACTAAGTCTAAGTAAAATAAGCACCAAATAATTGGGTGATGGCACCAGCAATAACTTGCAGTGTACAGCCATGGCTGGAAATATCAAATTCTCAACAGTTCCCTGAGGAATGTTATGATATCTGAGCACCAATAATAGAATGTTTCCCAATCACATTCTTCGTCACCATCCGTTTTCTACTGAACGTTCATGAAGAAAACAGAATAAACTCTCCTTGTGAAAGTTACGTGAACACAGGCCCCATGGACGAAAAGCCATTTGGAGACTGGGAGCAGCACGGGCCTCCGAGAGGGGAGGGACCTGGGAAATCCTGGAGGCCAAGCCCTGCCTCTTACAGAAAGACAACCAGAGACCCCAGGGTCCTCTGACCCCCCCACACCCCAACATGACTCAGGGCCTCACGATCTTGACCCCTCACTTTGCCAAGTACCTCATTCTCTTTGGATCCCCACAGCCACACAACCCATCGCCTGGGGGCACCCTGCATGTGAAGAGCAGCCCGAGGGTCACAGGTAACAGAGAAAGTCTATGGCCTTTGAAGAATGTGCCCCAATGCGAGCTCCACTGGCACGGCCTCCCAGACCCCAGGCTCATCTCCACAGCGGGGTCAGACCAGCAATGTGGGCACGAGAAGACTGCGCCCGGGAGGAAGAGTTAGAGCTTAAGGGCTTCAATGGTGCTCAAGGGAAGGTCCCCAACACCCCAGGCCCATCCTTTCTGGAGGGCTGATGGAGGACAGGGTCAAAGGGAGGCGCCAGCCCACAGACGCGCCCCCGACCACCAAATCCAGCGCTGCGCTCACAGGGCCAGGCCCTTTTCTTTGACCGCTTCTTTTCTTCCCCTTTTCCCTAAAGCATCTCACCTTCTTCCTATACCCAGTGCAAAGTGAAGAGAGAAGGACTGGGAAATCACCGCACAGGAACAGCAGGGTTGTGATGATGATCAACTCTGGAAGAGTTGATGCTCTGATCAATACAGCAATCCAAGGCAATTCCAAAGGACTCACGATGAAAAAATGTTCTCCACCTCCGGAGAAAGAACTGAAACTCTGAGTGCAAGCAGAAGTATGATTTTCTCACTTCTTTTTCTGACTTTTTTCTTGTAACATAGTTAAGATGGAAATGTTTTGCAAGATTTTACATGTATAACTGATATTATATTGCTTGCCTTGGTGGGAGAGGAGTGAAAGAGAAGGAGAGAATTTGGAACTTGAAATTTTAAAAAAAGAATATTAAACAAATAA